TAGCTTAGTTAAGAGCGTTTGTATTGTGATGGAAGGTCGCTGGTTTTAATTCCGGTCTGTAGTCATTTCACTTTTTAATCTCGGTATACTGTTATTTTTTGCATTAATGATTTATTAAAGCTATTGTTTCACAGCTAAAGTTTCCCATTCAGTTTTGGCCGTGCTACAGGTAGCCTTAAAACACCTGTGAATATAGTATGGCTTGTTATTCTATAAAGGTATCTTTTGTTGTTTGGTTCCTCAATAACTATCGAACAGCTGTATGTTTTGTTGATATATAACAACTCTGAATCGTTTATGTTGACATCTTTTATTTTGAGAATATTGCCAGTTTTATCATACATATTCCCAGTATTATTAATTACTTGGTTTTAGCCCTGGCAGTTGTTACCCCTGTTGCGAGTGGCCAGATACATCTACTACCATTGTAGGCAAGGCAGGGAGAGCACACTACTGTTTACATGTATGCTGTGTGCACAATCACAATAACAGACCCCCCCCCCCCCCCCAAGATGCTCCAACCACACACCTACCTGACACACAGTATACTGACTGTACACAAATCTACCAGACACATGTAAATTAACACAAATTCACCAGACACAAGTGTACACACACAATCACAAATTCATCAGACACGTGTATACTGACCATTTTAAAATTTGTGTCAACTGACTTTCTCAGATTCACTTCAACTTTTATGTCTGAACATTTATACATCATCACAAATCAACAAACATTCGCAGTTCGCACACACACACCACATATGAGCATCCACTGTCAGCACACCTGCACCGCACACCTGCATCTGCATCACAGCTCGACACGCTTAGAGGAATTCTTTACACTGTACAAAGGATGCACCATGGGAAATCTAGGCATACAAGCTGCAAGCTCAAGCCCTTTTTTATTTCTTGTTTTTATACATAACTATTATACATATAGGTAAATGTACTTCTATATATATATATAAATATTTACAAACAGAACATAGAGGACAGAAGCATTAGCTGGAACAGAAACATTAACAGGTAAAAGAATATAACTGGTTTATAACATCCACAGACACTAAAATGGATACAGGTAAAGTTACCTTGACAACAAGACACAACTGTTAATCAACAGGTAAAACTATTAATCAACTGGTAAAACTAGATATTTTAACACAGAAATAAACAAGTGCATTGCTGCATCTTATTAAAAGCACTTTTAGGCGATACCATTCCAAATCTTTTCTCCGTTATAAATTATGATATACCCTGCAAAAATTCAAATTGGCTAGCGCTCTTGCACATTTGTTGGACTGTTGATTAAGTGTATGGATTATAAGCTCTATAGCACTAACAACCGGGCAGTTGGGGATGGCCAGGCCAAAAACAATGGAGGGAACAAAAACATACAAAAAAAACTGCTGTAAATTTAGAACGTTAATCAACATTGCAATTATAACGTTGAAGGAGAGACATGAAATATTATTGTTGGTCTTGTTAGGTCACAAGATCAATTTCCCTTCTTTACCAAAATGTATTAGTAACATTAGAGAAATACACATACTTATTGAGATGTCATAATATGGTAAGTTTTCTTCTTTTTTTTTTTTCCTTGTCAAATCTTTTTGACCCCATTATTGACCCTGTGGATCCATGGTGTGTACACGTGTACAGCTGTCACTTCCCAACACTGAATAAACAAATTTAAAGGAGCCCTTGGTAAAATTCTCATCAAACAGACGTTGGGAAAAGCTTAAGTCAAGGCATCACCTTCCATACTGAATTGTGACTGCTATATGTCAATGGTACATTCCAATAGTCACCAGTGGATACTAAGTCAACGGTACATTCCAATAGTCACCAGTGGATACTAAGTCAACGGTACATTCCAATAGCCATTAGTCTTTGTCCGGATTTTCAATTTTCTGACCTGTACTCCCAGACAGGACATGTGGGTGTGTAAGTAGAGGAATTTTACAATCTAACTGTGGTGCTACAGAATCTTTTACAAATTTTTCATTAATGACATAAAATTCTGATTAACCGATTCCTAGAGAGCCGTGACAAATAAAACTTCCTTACTAGAAGTTTTTTTCAAATAATTGATATGTGGAAATACGTGACAATAAGTGTGTGCTCGATTACTTAATGTGTAAATGTGTAGTCCTATAGACAAGATAGTATCTACCCACAACACAGGTAAATCACACAGGTAAATCTCACAGAACACACCCACTAGTCTCGGGTGGGAGCAGGGTCCATGTACTAACCATAGAAATTCCCCGATAATCTATAGGTGCGATTTCAATCAATTTTCATTTGAAAATTACACATACAGCCTTTCCCATTAAAGGTTGTTTTATCATTATGCTCAATTCAAACATTTATTATTCACCAGAAAAATATATACACATTTGCATATAAATATTTTATCTTGTATTCAAACTATGATAAATCACCTGAACCAATATTAAGAGCACTTGTTTCTATTGCACAGTAAGTGTGTGGAGGAATGCTATACACCAAGTTGGTGGCCATCACTTCAGGCGTCATTCACAACAAAAATAATTGCCAATGAAAGTTTTGAAATATATTCTTTAGAATATCATTAAAATTTACTTCATAAAGTCTGATCATCTTTCTTTTTTTTCCATACAGTTCTGAATGTGACGGATCAATAATCGTCACAATACACATTTACTTAGATGACAATCTAGCCAATTTTGGAACACCAACAGGTCCTATGGCATGTTAATTTATCCACTTTAGGACACCAACAGGTCCTATGGCATGTTAATATATCCACTTTAGGACACCAACAGGTCCTATGGCAGGTTAATTTATCCACTTTAGGACACCCAACAGGTCCTATGGCAGGTTAATTTATCCACTTTAGGACACTAATAGGTCCTATGGCAGGTTAATTTATCCACTTTAGGACACCAACAGGTCTTATGGTGTGTTGATTGCTCCACTTTAGGACATTGGTCCTATGGTGTTTATGAGTCACTGTTTCCACTATAAGACACCAGGAGATCCTTTGTTTGACGTGTTTCAGTATCTAGACTAAGATCAATCATCTCGCTCAAGAAATGCATAGCTTTGACAGACATCCACAAACGTGTTGTCAAATTTACGTGATTTGTACAATGATGAAAGACTGTTTTGATAAACATTATTAACATTATTTCAATTGGTACAAAATAATATCTTTTCTTTGGATTTGATCCAAAATGAAACAAAAATCTTAACAAAATTCATTCTTCTCTCTCTCTATATCTGTGAATAGAAAGCAGTATTTCCCCTGTCCGATTCTCACTCTCTCTCTCAGCTGAACAAGTATGTAGAGAAAGTATTTAAATACCAGTCTCTGTATATCCAATAGTCATGGATAGATACATAAATATCCTTATCTTGCAAGTATCACTAACATCGATTGAGGCTCCAGGAGGGAAATTGGTATGTCAACATAATCTTAATAAAATTATCTATGTTGAAATAAAATTGAATTCTTTTTTTTATCAGAATATTACAAAAAGTTAAATCCTGCTGACAATTTGAATATGGTACATGTTCAAAGAATTTTGTTGAGTTTCTTTTCCAAAAAGAACATTCCCTCCAAGAGCCCCTCACAAATAAAGATGGAGTCACAAAATATGGTCATCTCAAAATGTTAGTTTGAAAAAATATTTTGTTTCATTTTGTAGCCAGCTGGGGTTTGAACCTTCTGTTGTTGTACTATTAAATAAATAAGCTTCAACCAGTTTCCAAAATGGACTGATTTTGAGACAAACAAGTCACTGTTGTTGAAGTATAAAGAATTGTTATCCGTCATCACTGCAAATGTCGCAAGTGTTAAAAAGTGTAGGGTACGTGGTGAAATGAGTTAGCTTAAAAAGTATGATCTCGCAACAATCCACTCACATTCCATTGCTAAGCAATTTGACTCGAAACATAAAACTATATCTCTTAAATGAATTTGCATATAGATATGATTTCATAACTTAAAGCGAGACGTATTTCTGACGTTAACCTATTAAGAACAGCTTTTGTGTAAACCATCTTTATCTTTGATGACCTCTGTTGTGTGTTTAGACTCGGCTACACTCCCGATCGGGTGATCTGGTTTGTAGCCGAGTCAGCATGTGATGTCATACGTAGACAGGAGCATTGGAGGACTCAGGTTCCGATTCCTTTGCAATGTCACTTTCTTTCTCAGTACTATGCTCCCAGTTTTTCATGGGATATGGATGTCCACCATCATCAAAAAACCTGCGGAATGTGAACTCGAAAAATGCATGCTCAGGATGTTTTCCGTTGACAGGATGGTCAGGTTTTTTTATTTCTTCATCTGGGTCACTTTCTCTAACACGTTCAGGGTCAATGGGGTCAAAGTTCGATGTGTCCGTGGGATGACTAATTTTGGGTTTAAACAGAGCTGTCTGTTTCCGTAGCCCCTCAAAGTTCAGTGAGTAGAAGAATGGATGTTCCTTTATCTCAGCTGCACCTTTGGCACCTAGACGTGTTTCTTGGTCACAGCACAGCTTCAGGATTAGATCTTCAGCCGCTCGTGATAGATTTGCCTCCCTTGGAATATTTAGATTCTCCGACCAATGGATGACCTACAACAACAAAAACACAGACAAGAAATTAGCGAAAATAACATCAATATATTCATTCACCCAGTAATAATTACATGATAAAGCATGGATTACATAAGTGTGACCTAGAGTGGAATATTTCTGCATATTTCAAGACAATGGTCAAACAGCAGCATTAGCTTAAACCATTGTCAAACTGTGGCAGCTAGTAGCTTGAACCATTGTCTAACTGTGGCAGCTAGTAGCTTGAACCATTTTCAAACTGTGGAAGCTAGTAGCCTGAGCCATTTTCAAACTGTGGCAGAAGCTTGAACCATTGTCAAACTGCGGCAACTAGTAGCTTGAACCATTGTCAAACTGTGACAGTAACTTGAACCATTGTCAAACTGCGACAGTGGCTTGAACCATTGTCAAACTGCGGCAGCTAGTAACTTGAACCATTGTCAAACTGTGGCAGCTAGTAGCTTGAACCATTGTCAAACTGTGGCAGCTAGAAGCTTGAACCATTGTCTAACTGTGGCAGCTAGTAGCTTAAACCATTGTCTAACTGTGGCAGCTAGTAGCTTGAACCATTGTCAAACTGTGGCAGTAGCTTGAACCATTGTCAAACTGTGGGAGTAGCTTGAACTATTGTCTAACTGTGGCAGCTAGTAGCTTGAACCATTGTCTAACTGCAGCAGCTAGTAGCTTGAACCATTGTCAAACTGTGGCAGCTAGTAGCTAGAACCTTTGTCAAACTGTGGCAGCTAGTAACCTGAAACATTGTCAAACTGTGGCAGTAGCTTGAACCATTGTCTAACTGTGGCAGTAGCTTGAACCATTGTCAAACTGTGGCAGTAACTTGAACCATTGTCAAACTGTGGCAGCTAGTAGCTAGAACCTTTGTCAAACTGTGGCAGCTAGTAACCTGAACCATTGTCAAACTGTGGCAGTAGCTTGAACCATTGTCAAACTGTGGCAGCTAGTAGCTAGAACCTTTGTCAAACTGTGGCAGTAGCTTGAACCATTGTCAAACTGTGGCAGTAGCTTGAACGATTGTCAAACTGTGGCAGCTAGTAGCTATAACCATTGTCAAACTGTGGCAGTAGCTTGAACCACTGTCAAACTGTGGCAGTAGCTTAAACCATTGTCAAACTGTGGCAGTACCTGGGCAATCTGACAAACTGTGGCAGTACCTGGGCAACTTGACAAACTGTGGCAGTACCTGGGCAACTTGACAAATAAAGCACAATTATTGGAGTGTGGTTGTCACACATGCAATGTTTAGCTCAGGTTGTTTGGTGGTTACAAACCTGACAATATGTTGTGTCTCAAATTTTATTAATGTTAGTAGATTTTATTTTTGAGAGAGGCTAGACAACTATACTAAACAAAAGACCATAATGGGAGAACAGACATTCCATGGGCAAGCAGTGTAATAAAACATAAATATACACACTCCAAATTTGATACAAAAACTAAGCTGATACTTTACTGCGAAATGTAAATGTCTAGCTGTCACTATGTCATTTCAATATGTAGCAATGCTTTGAGTGTAGCTCTTTATCTAGTCAGTAAACGATGTGTGCTAGAACACAAGTTCAGGTGTAATGTAATAATGGGTTACTGTAGCCCCCAGAGGGAATAGTTTTCGCTGGTTCACCAATGAAATAAATTTCTGAACACATATATTATCTCTGATGAGTTTTCAGTGCTGAATATGCAGCACCTGTTTTAGGTGACAAATCGGAGACTGATAATTAATTACCATCTGTCAAGTCTAGGTTATATCTGAGGGACAAAGCACCTATACATTACAGTATCATCCACAATACGTTAGCTTCACAACACATCACACTGAACAAATTTTAATTCGTCATTTAAGGAAATTCTTTTTCCATTGTCAATCAAGAAACTATGCCCAGGTAAAAACCATCTATGCATCACTGGAGAAAAAATTGGTCAGTTCAATCCTCTTAAAAGTGGTCATTATTTGTGTAAGATAGTCAATAACTAAGCACTCTTTTCCAAATCTCTATTACCAGTAATTATAAAACTGAAATCAAAAAAGCTGTCTCCTCCTAAAGATGGCGTCTCCGGGTGGCACAAATTAGTGCTTTTACACAATCATTATTGTTTTGCCAAAAACCTTCCTCTCAAACGCTTTCTAAGGTATGCCGAATTCGATAAGTTCGGAGTAGGGGGTCTAGTTCAGTACAAAACAAGTGACTGTCAGAGGGACATCACTCACACAACACACCACTTGAATTGCTGATAATTTCTCTCCATCAAAGGATACATACAACAGTCACAAAAGGACTGCATATGTCTCAGATAGAGGGCAAGGCCATTCACCTGTCACCATTTCTTTTATGAATTTGTGCCAAAAAAAATTGTCCTATCCACCTAATATTTTAACATCCTATCTCTAGACAGAAACCTTGTACACATTTAGGTCAGTGTTTCATGTTCATCGATCCGTGAAGACAGATGTCACATTTATGTTTAAAAGAAAATGTCGGTCACCCTAAAGTTAACCACCCATACAAACCAGACCTAGCCAATGAAGGTGGAGTATACATGTACTAGCTTTGTCGACCTTACAGTTAACATAAGCTCGTTTACAAACTTTGCCAATTAAATCCATACATATATAGCACAGCCAAGTAAGCTTTAATTCCTATTCTGTAAGCTAGTATAACCAAGTTAGCTATTATTCCTATTCTATGAAATAGCATAACCTGGTTAGTTATTATTCCTATTCTATGAAATGGCATAACCAGGTTAGTTATTATTCCTATTCTGTACTTTAGCATACCCAATGTATATATACCTTCATCAACAACTATAGATAAATTCTGTTACTCTCCTTCAGGTTATAAATAACAGTGTAGACTTTGATCCTACTTAACCTTTCAATTAGAAGCCCATTCCCAAGCCTGATCTCGATATGGAGACATTTTTGTTCGCATCCATTTCAAATCTAAATCAAAGCTTTTAATTCAATTTGTTTTGCATTAACCATCAAAGTGCAGTAATTACACAAGAATGTGTGTACAAGAATAAGCCAATACGAAACTCATTGAAAACTTTTATCAGTCAACCATCTGACAAATGATAGCGGATCTCTCATTTATTGCTGTCACACATAAGTCTGTTTTTGTGTGTTGATGTCAGTAAGATAAATATGACTAATGCAGTTTTACTGAAGTTATTAATCAAATATTCTCATCAATGTCTCCCGACTACCACTAGAAAGGAAATTAAATATTAACGAACATTCGTATTTAATTTGACACCTGCAGAGAAAATCTATAGGACTCGGCCTGTACAGCGAGAGCCTGGTGATACAGATTATCATTGGACCTACCTGATTTATACCTGTGAACTACCGCAGGCCTAAATCAAGACACAGGCAGATTTGTCAATAATTCACTCTATTATAACCTCAGCAGCTGGCAATAGAATCTCAAATATTAATTTGTTTTGATAAAAATCGTTCTGCGGCCACACTTAATATGATATTATACCATATTGATTTTTAGTGGTCTTGTGTATAATTTTTAATTGATTGCCTGTATCAATTACAAAGGCAGAGCTTTGTTTTCATGCAGGTGTGGACAGAAATAAAATGCCCTTCACAATCTCTTGTTTGCTTAATTGACCATAATTTTCTGGAAAATTGTGGTCTGACTGGAAAAGTAAGTTATTTGTCCGGAGGGTACAGGGTGCAGAGTCAGAGATAAGCTATGCCATGTGGTAGGGATAATATGCCATTCATTAGGTCCCCTTATATTATCACTACAGCACAAAGCATGGCCAAGTCATTGTTGTGGTCAAACCTTCAGGTGAAAACTCCTATATATGGTAGAAAAAAATGGGAAATCCTAGACCATAGAGAACATGTGTAACCCTGACCTTAAGTTCAAGGTCATATGGATTTTTTTCAAGGAAAGATTTTTATTTTGTTTCATGGAATCATTAATTAAGTTTTTGTTTTACATGTGTGGGTATGTTTCATATCATGAATGCACAGTGAAATTGGCCGTTCTGACAAAGCGTCATCAGTAAGTATTACAGAGCTATGATAACTGATCAAAGGAACCTGCATGATGTCATGACCTGTCCTTAGTTTAATTTGTCTCATTTGCAAGAAAAAAGCAAGCTTAAGTGTGGTTATCAAATCAAATGTTTTACTAGTAACTTTGTGTTTTGTGTTGCTATGAGTTACTGACAACAATGCAGCTTGGTATCTTGTGCTGTCATGGTTACCTTCATTTGCGTTTCCTGTGGCGTTGGTGCGAAGAAGGGAGGTTGTCCCACCAACATCTCGTACAAAATCACGCCGACACTCCACCAATCACAGCACTTTGTGTACCCTGGAAATATCATTGAAATGTTGCAATATTACTCCACCTATCACAATCCATTTTGGCATGTTGTCATAAAGTTACTTATATTTTAATGAATGAGGTGACGTCATGTTTCCTAGAAACAACAACACTGCTTCTTCCTTGTGTACACCTTATACTTGGACATAAATTGCCAAGCTTAGAAAGCTAACGACAATCCAGCATTGTATCGATTACATGTATGAATCTCTCGGTTACTAATGCTTTGATGGCTATTGACCAAGTACACAGCAGGCAGGGGTATCCTATTTATACAACAGAAAATCTTTATATAAGAAATTAGAGTCTTACCACATGATGGCAGTGTGCTATGTAAAACTTCATATATATACGTTAATTTTTTTATACAGGACTTTGACCAGAATGATTTGCACAAAATAATCACAATTACTAATGTCATAACTATATCATTGACAAGTGTGTAAATCTTTAAGTTGGGCCCCGCCATGTGCCTGACTGTAACCTGTCTTTGTGTTGTATTAATTTAACGGAATCCAAAAACACAGTACTGTAGAAACGAACATATTTTAACGGTATTCTTATTTTAGCACTATTGCGCTTTCGATACTGTGCTACTTATGAGTGTGCCTTTTCATCAATGCACTTATCTGTAAAAATTCTTCAATGTGCTAAAATTTGAGCCCACTAAAATAAGCAAGTTTACCGTATATAATTGATCTTATCATAAGAAAGGTACTGGTGTATAGGGACAAATCTGATTACAAATTGTCATCAAATGTATGGCGAGGTCTAACACTTAAAGGAATGACTGAATATCACCAGGTTTGAGACATATTATAATTAGATATCTAGTGCCTGGTGCATTCTAACATGTCCCAGATGAGATACATACCTGAACCACTGACAGCAAGGACCTCAGGAGCGATGTAGTTGGGGGTGCCGACCAGAGAGTGTGCGAGACAACGGTGGTTGTGACGTTTTCGTCTCCGCTCAAGGGGCTTCAGGGGTTGGGATTGGCCACACTTACACTCTACTTCAGATGCAAAGTTGACGTCCATAGAATCTTGTCTAAGGTGGTGCCCTGCAATGTGAATAAAAGACACATTCAAACTTCTCATCCACATTCAATGATGTAAGAACATGTATATAACCAGGATAAAATGCAGCGAGGTGGGTTTAGGATAGCAATGAGGTGGATTCTATATAAAACAAGAGCCCCAATGGGCCTGCATCGGTTACCTGGTATAAATCTCACACTTGTAACCTTAAAAGTGATTTAAAGTAAAGCTACAGGCAAAATGTCAGTATTTATGATTTAAATTCATTCAAAAGAACCTGTTATTTTTTTTAAAAACTTTTCACCCCTGTGATTGAAAATCAAACAAAGTCATTATGTTGAACAAATTTTATAGCCTTTCATCTCAGGATGCAACTTGCAAAGTATCAACATCCTGGGACCCATGGTTATTCAGAAGAGGTCGTTTAAAGATTTAAAACAAATTTGACCCCTGTGACCTTGAATATAAGTCAAAGTCATTCACTTTAACAAACATAGTAGTCCTTAAGCTTGATCCCAGCATGCTACTGACTAAATATCAACATCCTGAGCCTTTTAGTTATTCAGAACAAGTTCTTTAAATATTTTGAACATATTTGCTCCTTGTAACCTAGAATATGATTCAAGGTCATACATTTAAACAAACTTAGTAGCCCTTGATCCTAGTAAGCTACTGACTAAATATCAACACCCTGGGCATTTTGGTTATTGAGAAGAAGTAGTTTAAATTTTTTAACATATTTGACCCCTGTGACCTTGAATAAACATAGTAGTCCTTGATCCCAGCATGCTACTGACTAAATATCAACATCCTGAGCCTTTTGGTTATTCAGAACAAGTTCTTTAAATATTTTGAACATATTTGCTCCTTGTAACCTTGAATATGATTCAAGGTCATACATTTAAACAAACTTGGTAGCCCTTGATCCTAGTATGCTACTGACTAAATATCATCACCCTGGGCATTTTGGTTATTGAGAAGTTGTTTAAAGTTTTTAACATATTTGACCCCTGTGATCTTGAATATGGGTGAAGGTCATTCATTTGAACAAACTTGATAGCCCTTTACCCCAGCATGCTACTGGCCAAATATCATCACCCTGGGCATTTTGGTTATTCAGGAGAACTTATTTAATGTTTTAAACATATTTGACCCCTGTGACCTTGAAAATAGGTGAAGGTCATTATTTTAACAAACTTTTTAGCCCTTCATCACAGTTTGCTTCTGGCCAAATATCGACACCTTAGGCCTTTCGGTTATTAAGAAGAAGTTGTTTAAAGTAAAATATTGACGCCCGACGGACGCCGCGCCACGGCATAAGCTCACTTGGCACTTCGTGCCAGGTGAGCTTACAAACCATCATCTTATTATTTCTGTTTTGACCTATTACATATTCTGATGTGACCTATTACACATTCTGATGTGACCTATTAAAACAGTCTGATGTGACGTTTTAAACATTCTACACATTCTGATGTGACCTATTGCACATTCTGATGTGACCTATTTAATATTCTGAAGTGACCTATAAATATTGTTATGTGACGTCGACCTAATACACATTCTGATGTGACTTATATAAATCCTGATGTGACTTTTTTCTCCACCATTGAACAATGACATATCATAGGCACAATGACAATGGAGAAATAAAGCCATATTTATTTTAGCTTGGCCTTATTTATGATTATAAGATGCCTACAAGGAATCTAGGCTATAGTGTATTGTTAAGGATTGTTTACTCCAGACAAAGACCTCTGATGGAATGTTGGGGTCGACATGAAAGACATTACACCTACATACATTAGTGTAATACCTAGCCCTCCAGAATTCTGGGGTACATATTATATTGCCTCAGTATTGTCACCTAACAAAGCCAGCATTATATCCAATTTCAATAGTATGTATGAGTGCCCACGTTTGAACATCTCTGTTTTAAGTTTAGATAGCATATAACCATTTACCCATTAAGACTGGCTGTCGAGGTCAAGTTAACCCCACAAACAATGGCAGTTGGCTCCATTTAAATACATTTTGAAAATACATACAGCTTGTATTGTATGTCCTGCCTTGTTGTTTTAAATACCCCTTGGACATAGATAGCAGGATAGTCATTCGTTAAATCCACAGCTATTCTGAAAATGTTATCTCTAATAAAAACTGCCCTTCACTGACAGATCATTTTTTTGCAATTTGGTTTGTTACATTTAGTGTAATGAATGTTAATGACGATAAAAATCAGCAAATATTTACTATTTACTCGATCGAAAAATACAGGTGTGTTCACCGAGTGAACTCTTAAAACTGCATAACATACCATGCATGGTTGAAGGAAATGACCACTTCCATCCCTTCCACAAAATGTGTGCATACATGCAGAATTATGCAGCTTTTAAAGCCATTGAACAGCACATGTGGCCAATATGTACACCACCAGTAAGAAAATAGTTTTACATTCATTCACTTAACTAAGATACATCACTACAATTTTCTCAAAACAAAGGTGAGAGGGTTAGAAGACCGAAAGGGGACAGGAAATTCCACAGAATTACATAATAGACTCTGCTCAAAATCTACCTTAAAATAGACTTCTGAAGTAGATTAGGTGTAACAGGGTGATCACGAGTGTTCACAAAGCCTTCCTCTCCCCACAGACTTATTATAACAGGTTGTTACAGTATTATAACAGGTTGTTACAGACAAGCCTGCAGTCACAGGTTTTGTTGGATGTACTGAATACCAGACAAACTCTATAATCTGAGTAAGATCATTGTATCTGGAATGTGGGTCAAGCATCCCCAAATGATGGTGTAGACGGGCCAAGGATAGCAAAAAGCTCAGCTGCCAACACTATAAATACAGGGATAATTAAAATAATTATCCATTGCTAGAGATGTTATATCACTATCTCACAAAACTATATCCCCAAAATACACTGTACATGTGACTATTAACATATTAGAGGTTATGGACACAGGGAAATATGAGGTAGGATCTTACCAAAGTAGGTGTAGTTTGGGTTATAACTAAAAATTCTTAAAAAAAAACACCTTGATTTTTGGAAATAAAGTTGCAAGTGTTACCTCTGGATTCAACATTGACCTTAGGGTTAAAGTTACAGGTGTGAAACCTCTGGATACAACATTGACCTTAAATAGGGTTAAAGTTTCAGGTGTGAAACCTCTGGATACAACATTGACCTTATATAGGGTTAAAGTTACAGGTGTGAAACCTCTGGATACAACATTGACCTTATATAGGGTTAAAGTTACAGGTGTGAAACCTCTGGATACAATAGTGACCTTAGGGTTAAAGTTACAGGTGTGAAACCTCTAGATACAACATTGACCTTATGTAGGGTTAAAGTTACAGGTGTGAAACCTCTGGATACAACATTGACCTTAGGGTTAAAGTTACAGGTGTAAAACCTCTGGATACAGCATTGACCTTATATAGGGTTAAAGTTACAGGTGTAAAACCTCTGGATACAACATTGACCTTATATAGGGTTATAGTTACAGGTGTGAAACCTCTGGATACAACATTGTCCTTATATAGGGTTAAAGTTACAGGTGTGAACCCTCTGGATACAACATTGACCTTAGGGTTAAAGTTACAGGTGTGAAACCTCTGTATACAACATTGACCTTATATAGGGTTAAAGTTACAGATATGAAACCTCTGGGTACAACATTGACATAATATAGGGTTAAAGTTACAGGTGTGAAACCTCTGTATACAACATTGACCTTATATAGGTTTAAAGTTACAGGTGTGAAACCTCTGGATACAATAGTGACCTTAGGGTTAAAGGTACAGGTGTGAAACCTCTAGATACAACATTGACCTTAGGGTTAAAGTTACAGGTGTAAAACCTCTGGATACAGCATTGACCTTATATAGGGTTAAAGTTACAGGCGTGAAACCTCTGGATCCAACATTGACCTTATATAGGGTTAAAGTTACAGATATGAAACCTCTGGATACAACATTGACATAATATAGGGTTAAAGTTACAGGTGTGAAACCTCTGGATACAACATTGACCTTAGGGTTAAAGTTACAGATATGAAACCTCTGGATACAACATTGACATAATATAGGGTTAAAGTTACAGGTGTAAAACCTCTGGATACAACATTGACCTTATATAGGGTTAAAGTTACAGGTGTAAAACCTCTGGATACAACATCGATCTTATATAGGGTTAAAGTTACAGATATGAAACCTCTGGATACAACATTGACCTTATATAGGGTTAAAGTTACAGATATGAAACCTCTGGATACAACATTGACCTTAGGGTTAAAGTTACAGGTGTGAAACCTCTGGATACAACATTAACATTGACCTAAGGGTTTAAGTTACAGGTGTGACCTGGGCCTCTTGATACAATCTTAAAATTGACTTTGGATTAAAGTTACAGGTGACCTCTAGATAAAACCTTGACCTTGGGTTTTAAACTACAGATATGAAACCTATATACAATATAACTTACTTTTTGCTTGCTTCATATACCTGGCTAATACCCGATACTTGTAGACCTATTTACCAGCCATGGATCTTACCAACCAACCATGCCGGCCACTGACCTTCAGGTATGTGACCTAACTTATATCTCGGTCAGTTGTGTTTGGTCAGTAAATGGTCATCTTCTTCAGGTTTATAACATTGTAGACAGAGACAGGCCTGTGTTCCTATACTAATAAGACGCCTACACTGTACATGTAGCCTGGTTACACCTGAGCTCTCAACCATGTAGTAGTTCTGTCAGGCCAGTATCTACAGGGTAATGGACACATTCCCCTGCTGTTAGGACATCCTTACATCCTCCATTAAATGTAAGGATAGATATATTTCAAATCCTCATTTCCTCAAATGATTTTTGCATTATGCTAGACATTTATCTCCTAATTACATCCAACAAATCTTGTAACAAAAGAGCTAGTCCTTTTCTAATTGAATAATTTCCAATAGGGGGTGGGGTGGAGACCAAACGTCCCTGCAAGAAAGTCAGTTCCATAGTGTTGGTAGGGATCCTAGGGTGGATACCTTAATGGTATTCATCAGTGCTCATCAGGGAAAGCAGAGCAAATGAAAGTCGAAATGATGAGCAACAACACCACTGAATCCCGTACAAAATGTGATGCTTGAATTTTGGTTAGTAAACAGAGATATTCGATTTGCTGTATGTCTACTCATGAAAGCTTAAGATCCATGTATACATATAGCTATTGGACTATAAAAGGAATATTATGACTACTACCAACTCCAAATGCAGGAGAATATTGAGCTTGTATGAGTTAAAAGGCAAAAGGAAAATTCAACTCAACTTATATAATTAGTGCAAAGTTTGGGGTACTAAACTAGTCCAAGTTCCCAGTCAGGAGGAGTACTAAACTAGTCCCAAGTTCCCAGTCAGGAAGAGTATTAAACTAGTCCAAGTTCCCAGTCAGGAGGAGTACTAAACTAGTCCAAGTTCCCAGTCAGGAAGAGTACTAAACTAGTCCCAAGTTCCCAGTCAGGAGGAGTATTAAACTAGTCCAAGCTCCCAGTCAGGAGGAGTACTAAACTAGTCCAAGTTCCCTGTCAGGAGGAGTACTAAACTAGTCCCAAGTTCCCAGTCAGGAAGAGTATTAAACTAGGTCAAGTTCTCAGTCAGGAGGAGTACTAAACTCGTCCAAGTTCCCTGTCAGGAGGAGTACTAAACTAATCAAAGTTCCCAGTCAGGAGGAGTACTAAACTCATCCAAGTTCCCAGTCAGGAAGAGTATTAAACTAGGTCAAGTTCCCAGTCAGGAGGAGTACTAAACAAGTCCAAGTTCCCTGTCAGGAGGAGTACTAAACTAGTCCCAAGTTCCCAGTCAGGAGGAGGATTAAACTAGTCCAAGCTCCCAGTCAGGAGGAGTACTAAACTAGTCCCAAGTTCCCAGTCAGGTGGAGAACTAAACTAATCCAAGATCCCAGTCAGGAGGAGTACTAAACTAGTCCAAGCTCCCAGTCAGGAGGAGAACTAAACTAGTCCAAGTTCCCAGTAAGGAGGAGTACTAAACTCGTCCAAGTTCCCTGTCAGGAGGAGTACTACACTAGTCCAAGTTCCCAGTAAGGAGGAGTACTAAACTCGTCCAAGTTCCCTGTCAGGAGGAGTACTAAACTCATCCCAAGTTCCCAGTAAGGAGGAGTACTAAACTCGTCCAAGTTCCCAGTCATGAGGAGTACTAAACTAGTCCAAGTTCCCAGACAGGAGGAGTACTAAACTAGTCCAAGTTCTCTGTCAGGAGGAGTACTAAACTAGTCCAAGGTCCCAGTCAGGAGGAGTACTAAACTAGTCCCAAGTTCCCAGTCAGGAAGAGTATTAAACTAGGTCAAGTTCTCAGTCAGGAGGAGTACTAAACTCGTCCAAGTTCCCTGTCAGGAGGAGTACTAAACTAGTCCCAAGTTCCCAGTCAGGAAGAGTATTAAACTAGGTCAAGTTCTCAGTCAGGAGGAGTACTAAACTCGTCCAAGTTCCCAGTCAGGAAGAGTACTAAACTAGTCCGAGTTCCCAGTCAGGATGAGTACTAAACTCATCCGAGTTCCCAGTAAGGAGGAGTACTAAACTCGTCCAAGTTCCCTGTCAGGAGGAGTACTAAACTAATCCAAGTTCCCAGTTAGGAGGAGTACTAAACTAGTCCAAGTTCCCCGTTAGGAAGAGTACTAAACTAGTCCGAGTTCCCAGTCAGGATGAGTACTAAACTCATCCGAGTTCCCAGTAAGGAGGAGTACTAAACTCGTCCAAGTTCCCTGTCAGGAGGAGTACTAAACTAGGCCCAAGTTCCCAGTCAGGAGGAGTATTAAACTAGTCCAAGCTCCCAGTCAGGAGGAGTACTAAACTAGTCCTAGTTCCCAGTCAGGAGGAGTACTAAACTAGGCCAAGTTCCCAGTCAGGAGGAGTGCTAAACTAGCCCAAGTTCCCAGTCAGGAAGAGTACTAAACTAGTCCGAGTTCCCAGTCAGGATGAGTACTAAACTCATCCGAGTTCCCAGTAAGGAGGAGTACTAAACTCGTCCAAGTTCCCAGTCAGGAAGAATACTAAACTAGTTCCAAGTTCCCAGTCAGGAGGAGTACTAAATAAGTCCAAGTTCCCTGTCAGGAGGAGTACTAAACTAATCAAAGTTCCCAGTCAGGAGGAGTACTAAACTCGTCCAAGTTCCCTGTCAGGAGGAGTACTACACTAGTCCAAGTTCCCAGTAAGGAGGAGTACTAAACTAGTCCAAGTTCCCGGTCAGTAGGAGTACTAAACTCATCTGAGTTCCCAGTCAGGAAGAGTACTAAACTAGTCCGAGTTCCCAGTCAGGATGAGTACTAAACTCATCCGAGTTCCCAGTAAGGAGGAGTACTAAACTCGTCCAAGTTCCCTGTCAGGAGGAGTACTAAACTAGGCCCAAGTTCCCAGTCAGGAGGAGTACTAAATAAGTCCAAGTTCCCTGTCAGGAGGAGTACTAAACTCATCCCAAGTTCCCAGTAAGGAGGAGTACTAAACTCGTCCAAGTTCCCTGTCAGGAGGAGTACTAAACTAGTCCAAGTTCCCGGTCAGGAGGAGTACTAAACTCATCTGAGTTCCCAGTCAGGAAGAGTACTAAACTCATCCAAGTTCCCAGTCAGGAGGAGTACTAAACTCATCCGAGTTCCCAGTAAGGAGGAGTACTAAACTAGTCCAAGTTCCCTTTCAGGATGATTACTAAACTAGTCCAAGTTCCCAGTCAGGAGGAGTACTAAACTCGTCCAAGTTCCCAGTAAGGAGTAGTACTAAACTAGTCCAAGTTCCCAGTCAGGAGGAGTACTTAACTAGTCCAAGTTCCCAGTCAGGAGGAGTACTTAACTAGTCCAAGTTCCCAGTCAGGAGGAGTACTTAACTAGTCCAAGTTCCCAGTCAGGAGGAGTACTAAACTAGTCCAAGTTCTCTGTCAGGAGGAGTACTAAACTAGTCCAAGTTCCCTGTCAGGAGGAGTACTAAACTCATCCCAAGTTCCCAGTAAGGAGGAGTACTAAACTCATCCAAGTTCCCAGTCAGGAAGAGTATTAAACTAGGTCAAGTTCCCAGTCAGGAGGAGTACTAAACTCGTCCAAGTTCCCAGTAAGGAGGAGTACTAAACTCATCCAAGTTCCCAGTCAGGAGGAGTACTTAACTCATCCAAGTTCACAGTCAGGAGGAGTTCTAAACTCATCCGAGTAGAATCACTACTGTTCATTCAGGAGGAGTACTAAACTAGTCCAAGTTCCCTGTCAGGAGGAGTACTAAACTCATCCCAAGTTCTCAGTAAGGAGGAGTACTAAACTCATCCAAGTTCCCAGTCAGGAGGAGTACTTAACTCATCCAAGTTCACAGTCAGGAGGAGTTCTAAACTCATCCGAGTAGAATCACTACTGTTCATTATTTTAATATTTCTTTTTGTGTCTGTTAAATCTGGACTTACATTCAAAGAATCCAACAATACGTTAAAATATATATACATTAATTAAACCACCACATGTTTGTGAATCCGTCGGACTGGAAATTTTAAAAGGTACGCATGTATAACTCTTAAATATCTAAAGAGATTAAAATTGATATAATGCTGAAAGAAATTTTAATCCCAATTTCAAGTTGCCAGATTGAATCTTGTTTTAAGCCTTGGCATTGTCCTTGAACATGATAAACATCTAAATATGTTCTCTATTAATTGGAAACCTTATAGGATAAACATCTAAATATATTCTCTAAATACTGGGAAACTGTCTCTTTACTTAATAAGTATGACCTGTACACACAACACAGCAGTTAACATGTCAACTTAATTCTTCACATCGAAACAAAATGTTGAAGTCACACACGTGTACTTCAAATGAAAATATGAGATCAAATGTACCAAAATGAAACATATAATAAACATTATAAAATTCTAAATCAAGTATATTATAGCGGAACATTCAGAGAACTTTACCACTTTTAATTGTACAAGTATATTTCAGCCGAACATTCCGACTTTTAATTGTACAAGTTCATTTCAGCTGGATGTTCAGAGAACATTCCGATATTTATTGTACAAGTATATTTTAGCCGCACGTTCCGAGAACATTTAGCCGGACGTTCTGAGAACATTCCGACTTTTATTGTACAAGTATATTTTAGCCAGACGTTCCGAGAACATTACGGCTTCAAGATTCTATCGAGGACAATGTACATGTTACTTACCTTGTGGCTGGTAGTACTTGGAATTGTGTGTCCATCGAAAACCAGTACATAATCCAAAGTCAGTCAGTTTCATATGTCCATCTTTGTCAATTAAAATATTGTCCGGTTTGATGTCTCTGTGAATGAACCCCATCTTATGCACACTTTCAATTGCTAGCACTAATTCTGCAATATAGAAAACAGCTAGAGGTTCCTCGAATATTTCCAATTTGATAAGAAGACCCATGAGGTCTCCGCCTGGTACGTAGTCCATCACAAAGTACAAGTTATCACGATCTTGGAAGGAGTAGTAGAGTTTTACTACCCATTCATTGTCTGCCTCCGCCAATATATCACGCTCAGCCTTCACATGAGCCACCTGGTTACGCTTCAAAACATCACTTTTCCTTAGCATTTTCATGGCATACAATTGATTGACCTCTTTCTTTTGCACAAGTGCCACCTCTCCAAATGCTCCCACACCTAATGAACTGAGTTTTTCAAACATAGATTTGTCCATTTTTGCTCTTTTTAATCGGATGTAGTTGGATTCTTTCTGGTGAAGCATGCGCCTCATTTGGTGCTGAGCTTCATCGGACAGTCCAACTTTTGACATTTCACGTTCTAACTGTAAACATCTTTTTTCCCGCTCCTTATGAGATTTTAACACATTTTCAATATGTTGCTCCATATAAAATTTGAATGCCTGCGGCGAATAGTTCCGTACTAGAGTTTCACCACGTAAAGAATCCTTTTCTTGTGCATCAGCTTTTCGTTCTGGCATTGGAGATGTGCACCTTGTTTTTTCAGAGTGACTACAACTACTTGCGTCAGAAACTGTTGACGTTGTTTCATCTGTTTCATCATTTTGTTCATTTTTATTTGCACCGTTTACTTTTTGTGAGCTCCCCCTAGACTGTTTGCCTGTGGAATGGGGAGGGAGAGGTGGGGGGGACATCACTAACGGTCCTTTTGTTGGCACAGGTGGAGGCGTGTCCGAGGATTCTGGAGAAATTCTATGTAGTATAGGCACTCTTGGTGGCAGAGGTGGCTGTTCCTGACTTTGTCCTTGAACTTGTTGACCGAAATGAATCGGGTAATTAATTTGCAACTGAGGGTGAGATGGAGGGGGATGTTGAGCGAACGGAGTCACTATTTGCACATGAGGGGGTAAATGAGCCTTGATCTGTTTTCCAGGGTAAGGGGGTGGGGGTTTATCAGGGATTTTATCTGAGAGTCTGTCTGCAATATCTGAATTACTTGTCGATGTGGTTGACATGGGTGACTGGTTTGTGCCTCGTAAGGATATTGGAGAGTCTGACCTTGGGGTTGACCCTTGAGTGTCCATAGGGCGTCTGATGTAGTCGTATTGCCCCTGACCCCGCTGTACCACAACACTGCGAGTATAGTGAGGACCGTGCTGTCCAAGGTTTATCTGAATCTGGGGCTGGCCACCCTGACCTTGACCTCCCATATGGGTGTGCATGGGGTCTTGGCGCATCATTGAAGATTTCTGTTGAACTTTATGTGGTTGATGTTTGATTTTTATCTGAACTTCAGGAGTTGGAGGTCGAGGATTTGGCATTCCTACTTTTGCTTCATAAGAAGACACATAATTTGTACCAGGTGACTGTGATGTCAAGTAATTTGTACCAGGTGACTGTGATCCTACATAATTTGTACCAGGTGACTGTGATGTCACGTAATTTGAACCAGGTGACTGTGAAACAAAGTTTGTGCCACGTGACTGTGCGGTGACGTAGTTTGGGCCCGATGACTGAGATGTCACATAGCTGGTGCCCTGTGAATGAGAAACGTAGTTAGGCCCCGATGACTGGGCTGGGGACATGGGTATCGTAGCCGTCATAGGCTTTGGCTTAGTCACTTTTTTACTCTTTACTGTCTCCGACACAATTTCTGGTTTAGTACAGTACGCCATTGATTGTGCTGGAGAAACAGCAGTCTTTTTGAGAACATTATCAGATCCAGTGAGTGAACCTGGTACTGTGTTATTAACAGTGATCTGAGTTTCATATCTTGGAGTAGGACGATACACTGGAGGAACTGTGGATGAAATAAGGTGTGACTGTTCCGTGTGACCTGGACCTGATATGTTCACTACTGGTGACCTACTCACTGGATGTTGACTATACGGTGGCGGTGGTTTGGAATAACGGATAGTTATCTGCCCTTGACTACCAGAGCCCCTCCCACTTTGGTTCGATATTGTCACCAACTGTCCTGAAGGTCTCTGTACAATGACGGGCTGGCCCAGACTGTTGACAGGACTCCTGCGTTGTGGTGTGACCTGTCCCGCATGTGTGAGGCCCTGCGCCTGCTGCTGCTGGTGATGGTGTAGTTGATTTAACTTGGTGCTGTGTTTGATATGTGGTTGTCCCGGAATTATTTGCTGCATGTCGGGCGACGGAATCATATTTAACTGCCGTGATGGCAGTTGTTGGTTGACCATGTGATGGTGGTTGTTTATTTGTGAGGCTTCCATCATTATCTGATGTTTGCTCATTGGCGTGGTTTGGTTAACTCCCAATGCGGAACTACTTGACACTATTGGTATTCGTGGTGGCACCGGTGGGGGAATCTGATCGCCATTGGTTACAGGCGTTACATTTACCACAGATGTATCGTTGGGTAACGTCCGACTTGGAAGTGAACACTGCGGGCTATCAGACCTTTCACTTGTACTGTCTGTGAAGCCATTGTGCATTGGCATTTCAATACTCGATTTACGGTTCTGTACAAGTTCTAGAAATAAAATAAAAACTTTAATAATATATGTCATCTCAACATCAGCGGACAATATAAAACAAATCAAATAGACAATACCAATGATTATGAAAGATTAACCATATGAAGAAGTCAAACTATGTACCGGAGATCTTTAAAAAAATCTTCCATCTAGAGATCTTTAAAAAAATCTTCCATAACAGTAACAAAAACAAACTGTACAGCTCATGTATGTGAGAGAGTTTGTCCATCAATGACGAGCAGGTACGTGAAGAATGTCTGTTGATGTAATGATCAATACTGTCTAGTAAAGCACTATGTAACAGCAGGTATGAGATGTGGACAAGTTATGTACCGCCAGATACAAGGTATGTACTGTCAGATACAAGGTATGTACTGTCAGATACAAGTTATGTCCCGTCAGATACAAGGTATGTACCGCCAGATACAAGGTATGTACCGTAAGATACAAGGAATGTACCGTCAGATACAAGGTAGGTACCGTCAGATACAAGGTATGTACCGTCAGATACAAGTTATGTACCGTCATATACAAGACATGTCCCGTCAGATACAAGGTATGTCCCGTCAGATACAAGGTATGTACCGTCAGATACAAGTTATGTACCGTCAGATACAAGGTATGTACCGTCAGATACAAGTTATGTACCGTCATATACAAGGTATGTACCGTCAGATACAAGACATGTACCGTCAGATACAAGACATGTACTGTCAGATACAAGGTATGTACCGTCAGATACAAATTATGTACCGCCAGATACAAGATATGTACTGTCAGATACAAGGTATGTACCGCCAGATACAAGGTATGTACCGTCAGATACAAGGTATGTACTGTCAGATACAAGGTATGTACCGTCAGATACAAGTTATGTACCGTCAGATACAAGGTATGTACCGTCAGATACAAGGTATGTACCGTCAGATACAAGGTATGTACCGTCAGATACAAGACATGTCCCGTCAGATACAAGGTATGTAATGCCAGATACAAGTTATGTACCGTCAGATACAAGGTATGTAACGTCAGATTCAAGGTATGTACCGTCAGATACAAGGTATGTACCGTCAGATACAAGGTATGTACGGTAGATACAAGGTATGTACCCTCAGATACAAGGTATGTCCTCCCAGATACAAGGTATGTAAAATCAGATACAAGGCATGTAACATCAAATACAAGGTATGTACTGCAGATACAAGGTATGTGCCGGCAGATACAAGGTAAGTACCGTCAGATACAGGGTATGTACCGTCAGATCCAAGGTATGTACGGCAGATACCAGGTATGTACCGTCAGACACAAGGTATGTACGGCAGATAGAAGGTATGTACCGTCAGATCCAAGGTATGTAACGTCATATACAAGGTATGTACCGACAGATACAAGGTATGTAACATCAGATACAAGGTATGTACTGCCAGATACAAGGTATGTAACGTCAGATACAAGGTATGTACGGCAGATACAAGGTATGTACCGTCAGATACAAGGTATGTACCGTCAGATACAAGGTATGTACCATCAGATACAAGGTATGTACTGCCAGATACAAGGCATGTACCGTCAGATACAAGTTATGTACCGCCAGATACAAGGTATATACCGTCAGATACAAGGTATGTACCGTCAGCTACAATGTATGTTCCGTCATATACAAGGATTGTTCCGCCAGATACAAGGTATGTAACATCAGATACATGGTATGTAACATCAGATACAAGGTATGTAAAATCAGATACAAGGCATGTAACATCAAATACAAGGTATGTACTGCCAGATACAAGGTATGTAAGGTCAGATACAAGGTATGTACGGCAGATAGAAGGTATGTACCGTCAGATACAAGGGATGTACTGTCAGATACAAGTTATGTACCGTCAGATACAAGGTATGTTCCGCCAGATACAAGGTATACTGCAGCGTTGTCACACTAAATACACTAGTATAACTAATATTAACTTGTAAATTGTAATTGGTCAAAAAACTTACGTGACTTGTCAATCTTGATGTAGCCATTGTGTCCTCCAATAGACTCCTGGAAAGAAATGTTCAAATTTAATCATCTTAAATACAATGTTCTGAAATCAATTGAAACCTCTGATCTGCAAAGAAAAAACACCTTCCCTCATCATTACTCAGTGTAGTTCATTACTCAGTGTAGTTGATTACTCAGTGTAGTTCATTTAATGTACGTAGTTCATTATTCAGTGTAGTTCATTATTCAGATCAGTCTGCAGTCTGTGATTTTAACACTAAGTTTATTTGTACCATGTGTCCAGATACCTACTTAACATAAATACAACCATAAAAAAATGTCTTATATCAAATGTATAGTGAAAAAGAAAATCACTTTTAAATTACAAAACTTAATTGATTCAATTCTACACGAAATCCACAGTGAAAACTTGCCCTATATTACCAAATGACCTAAATACTCTAACACCCAAGATACTAGATAATTGGATAATGAAAAGTAGAACTGCATTTTTTGGTCTGGAGTAATTGTAAACACAATAAGAGGGAGGCTAAATTACCCCGGCAGGGAATGTTATCATGGAACATAACTAAATCTGGCATGTATCGGGTTCATTTAATTTATTTTAACTTACAGTCTGAACTTAACAACCTAGTAGCTAACAAAGAGGAAATATTGTTTAAATTAAAACTGCTTGCACACCATGACAGTCACTATTTTGTTTTTCTGTTGGTTGCAGTACAAAGTATACACAAACTACAGCACTACTGTACACGTAGTAGCGATTACCTCAACTTACACTGCTGATAAATAACACTCAAGTTATCTTCTGTTTATTCTATTAGAAATTCTTAGAGATATTCCTTTGATAAAATTACTTAAATAAAATAACATTTATTTTTCATTTTGTGACATGTACTGTAAGTTGTATACATATATAATGTGGCCCAGATGAAAACCTGGTGAACATTGACCGCTCGGTGATTCACAAATACTAAATATCCATTCTTAAAATATTTTCACAAGTTTAAAGAGGCCCGCTGGCCACCAATGATTCTATTATAAAGGTTTGTGTATCACATTTACAAAGACGCACAGTGATATGTAAGCCATGTAACTCGAAAAAAATGTGGCATCCCGCCAACTGCCTGCAAACATTTCCAATATTACACCAGGGAGCTATAAAACTCTGGATCTCTCCTATATTCACCACTACCAACCACAGCCTACTGGAGCAAGGTCAGGAATTCATTTGAATTGGCTCAAAATAAAATGTACACCATTGAGAAAGTTTTCTTTATGAGTTGTGTATGAGAAATGTGTTGGTTTTACCGACAGAGATCAATACCTATTATTGTACCATAGTTCAGCTAATTCTTCACCGGTACACACACCTTATTACCAACAGACATAACACAATTACCCTAATAATAAAAAGCATGTTCACCATTTTAAAATGTTTGTTAAAGAGAAAAGGTGCTTGATTTCTGAACAAGACTGTAGGTTGTTATTTGTGGACTTGTGATGTCTGACATTATAAACAATTTCTTTACATAGGCATTTCTCTATATCACATTCAATATACCAGTCTCTAGGCACTTCTCTATATCACATTCAATATACCAGTCTCTAGGCACTTCTCTATATCACATTCAATATACCAGTCTCTAGGCACTTCTCTATATCACATTCAATATACCAGTCTCTAGGCACTTCTCTATATCACATTCAATATACCAGTCTCTAGGCACTTCTCTATATCACATTCAATATACCAGTCTCTAGGCACTTCTCTATATCACATTCAATATACCAGTCTCTAGGCACTTCTCTATATCACATTCAATATACCAGTCTCTAAGCACTTCTCTATATCACATTCAATATACCAGTCTCTATTAAAAAGTACATGTACTTGTCAATCTACCAATCTTCAGAGATATACCTACTTGTCAATCTACCAATGCTCAGAGATATACGCACTAGTCTATCTACCAATCCTCAGAGATATACGCACTTGTCTTTCTACCAATCCTCAGAGACATACGCACTTGTCTATCTACCAATCCTCAGAGATATATACACTTGTCTTTCTACCAATCCTCAGAGATATATACACTTGTCAATCTACCAATCCTCAGAGATATACACACTTGTCTATCTACCAATCCTCAGAGATATATACTTGTCAATCTACCAATTTTTAGATATATATATACACTTGTCTATCTACCAATCCTCAGAGATACATACACTTGTCAATCTACTAATCTTCAGAGATATCTTCAGAGATATCTACACTTGTCAATATACCAATCTTCAGAGATATATACACTTGTCAATCTTCCAATCATCAGAGATATATACACTTGTCAATATACCGACCCTCAGAAATACAAACCCAAGATATAAAGTGCTTGCATTTGCTTCAAAAAGAAAAGTACTAGCTATTTGCTTGCATTAATCCATTCAAATAGACAAGTATTATATATATATATACCAATCCCAAGAGATACACAAGTGTACACTGTTCTATNACACACACACACACACACTCCCCACCCAACCCCCAATTATGTCCATACGTTATATTATATAGAAGAATATTATATGCACAAAGAGGCATTTGATGAGTAGCCCGTTACTGCTCACCCATCCACCCAGGCTGAAATACCTTGAATTTTTGTGGCAGTGTTAGCAGAAGAGGGAATGGCAGGGCTTTATTCTATACAGGTAGTGTTCACAAGTATACGCAGTAATTAAAATTGTTGGGAGCATATAACACTTATCCCAGATCTTGTACAATATCTGTCTGCAAGACTATCTCTGCCACTTATCAGAGCTATTCATAAAAGGAATGTCTAAAACTGCCCAAATCTCGCCGCCTGCTGATTTCGTGCGGTAACATGTATATTTCAAAATTATTCATCTACAACATGGCTATTTAACTTCGTAATATTGTTCAAAGAATCAAACAACTGCAAGAGATAGCACATTTTTCTGCAGTTGTTCATCTTGTCTTATGTAATACCATTCTGAGAACACTTAAGACTGTTTAATGTTGCTTTATTTTAAAACAAACTATTTTTATTAATGTACCATGAAAGTTGACCATGATTATCAACTTTAATTTCCTATTATGAAATACTATCTTATGTCTGTAAGTATATATATGAAAGCATGATCAATTACAATAGCAGCACATCAGACTTTGGAACTTTCTGATACAGAGGATGCTCTGTAGACAAAATCAGGACATTCCCGCAGTAATACAGGTGTTATCCTTGTACTCAGACAGGTATATATATTTACTCCATAAGGTCTTGAATCAATGTGTCATTACATGACATTATAGTAGCTCTGGCACTTCAATAACCTGACTAGCATGTGGGTCAGGTTGGCCAGGACAGACTGGATTCCTTATAAGGTCACGGTAACATCACACCTTTAGTCACAGCAATATGGACCGGTTACCTGTCAACACTGCTCCATCCCTGTCAGGGAAGCCAGTTACATGTCAACATTGCTCCATCCAGTAGTCACTAGAGCAGATATCCTTCACATGTCAACATTAGTCCACCCCTGTCAATGAAGCCAGTTACATGTCAACATTGCCCCATCCCTGTCAGGGAAGCCAGTTACATGTCAACATTGCTCCATCCCTGTCAGGGAAGCCAGTTACATGTCAACATTGCTCCATCCAGTCACTAGAGCAGATATCCTTCACATGTCAACATTAGTCCACCCCTGTCAATGAAGCCAGTTACATGTCAACATTGCCCCATCCCTGTCAGGGAAGCCAGTTACATGTCAACATTGCTCCATCCAGTCACAAGAGCAGATATCCTTCACATGTCAACATTAGTCCACCCCTGTCAATGAAGCCAGTTATATGTCAACATTGCTCCATTCAGTCACTAGAGCAGGTACCCATTACATGTCAACATTAGTCCACCCCTGTCATTAAACAAATACCCATGGGTATTCTATGTCTACATTAATCCACCCTGCCATTTGAGCAAATATCCATTATATGTAATGATTGGTCGACCCCATCACTGCAGCAAGCTCCCCAATGCAACTTGTGTCAGCATAAGGACTCAATCCAGGACACAGGAATGTATGTTTGATGGATGGCACTTTGTCAGGTATGCACAGGTAATACACACAGGTATAGTTTGACCACAGGTGAGAAAGTTCCACATAACCAGGTGTCACAGCTGGTGTCATGTGGTTGACTAGGGTTTGATAGTCTAGTTCTCTGTGTCACCTTATAAAAAGTTGCCGGTCAAGTTGCTGTCAACAACAATGCTCCTCTGAATCAGTGTCTGTAAATAAATGTTGATATTGAAATACCAACTGGACGCTGAAACAAGACCCGCCATCTCATTAGCAGCATTACGTGCAGTTACCTGTCGCAGCTATAGAGGCATTTGGGAAATGTAAGCGTTGTACTGTTTGTTTTCTCAGACTGATCCACCCATATAACCAAAACATTTTTATCATCTTCTCCTAGACCAGTAATCAAAACATGGGATATATCGTGTGTCATTAAGTATGTGGCTCTATAGAGCCCCGTTACATGTACACCACTGCCTGCTGCTGAACATAGCCAACAGCTCTAGCTGGTAACATGGAACTAGACCACTCCCATGCTTCCCTTCCCATTTTATTTTTTATTTTTTATTTTTGTTGCTTATTCCAATACTTTCTGGACATGTGATATGGCTGTTATATTTCCCTGCATGTCATGGTCTTTTCCTGTGAGCTTATACCTATAACTATCTACATTAAATATAGAACTTCTTTAAAAAGTTTGCTGAAATTAATGTTTGGGTCTAGTCATGATTTGAATTCAATTAATTTTTTTATCAAATTTATCATTTATGTATCTTTTGAATCACTCTTCACAACCTTTCACAAGACTCAAGTGAACGATTTATTTTTACATTTTAAAACAGCTATACATGTACATATAGAATATAGTTTATATTGGGACAATAGTCAAAACAACTCATAGAAGGAAACATCTGAGGACATGGGCCGACAACACTAGTTTT